TCATAAAACGTTAGACAAGTTTAACGAGTGAAATGTTTTTGATATTTAACCGACTTCAAAAAAATAAGGTTATCAGTTCGAGTTCGAGTGTATGTATGTAATTTCGTTGGAATGGCTTAAGATTCATATATGTTGGTTTGTATGGGGTTCTAAATATGCGTGCAAAATTTTATAGATGTATGTATGTGTGTGTATACTTGTATCTGTATGTTTGTTTGTCCACGGATATCTCGCGAATTAGACGTCGGTTTGCAATGATCCTTTTTTTATTTGCTTAGCTTCCAACTTAGGGTACACTACATGTTTCATATAGAAATAATATAGTAACGTAATGTCAATTAGTTAACATTAGAATAATACTTTTACAATGATTGAATTAATTTCAGCATATTGACTGATTCGTTTAGTGATAGTCAGTTTGAAATTGTTAAACAAACAGTTAACAAACATTACTTTGTTTTCGTTTGCGATTTTAGTTTTTTTATGATCAGTTGATAGCAGTTTGATAAAACTAGGACTATTTGACTTATGAAATTAAAAAAACTGGTTATTGAGAATAAGCAGTAGAGATTTCCTACTTTTTTCAAATCAGAAACCAGCTGTTAGTCTTTAATCGATTGAAGCATTTTGACTACCTTGATTAGTGATTGTCTGGTAGAATTTACATGAAACGACTTATAAATCATAAACTAGTTTATTTCGTTTTTAGAAATGAAGAAGTCAATGACCGATTAAAAACTTGTTCCTTAGTACGTCCCAAAAACAGCTGACTCAGGGTTGAAAACACTCTTTTTTTTTCCAAAATGTTGTAATCTAATATCTCCGAAACTATTTGACCTAGACATATATTTTTTTTACATCATATTAAAGACAAATAGTACTCTCCAGGAACTTCGGGAGTGTCAGTCGTTCTGTTCCACCGAGTATAAGAAATATATCAAAGTCAAAAAACTAATAATAATTGAAACAACTTTTGACTCCCAAAGCTGGAACTCGTGGTTGTTTTCGGTAGCCAAGGGTAAATAAATAACTCAAATGTATTTTAAAATAGAATAATTTAATTTAATAAAACGTTGCCATAAAATATTATTTTGTATTGTGAATGTATCCAATAGTATTTGTTTTTGAAGGTAGCTATACTTTTAATTAAAAAGACAATCAACACCTTAGTCTTATGTGAACACGGAACCAGTAAAAGGTCTGAAACGCCAATAAAACTAAATGCAATCGCAATGAAACCGCTTAAATGTTGTTTCATTTATGGATAGTGCGTTTGAAAATATACGAAATCAATAAATTAATAACAGGCTCATACCACGAGTTGTGTCACAAAAATGTATTAATTATTTAATTTGTCGTGAGATAAATGTGAAAAATATATGCAGCATTATTTACCTTTAGACAATAGTGTAGAGGATTGGTGAGTGTGGTGTGCTGATGCCCTTATTTGCAGACATATTGAGCATCGTGTTTGCCATCGTCAATTCGCTTGCGTTTAATTAAACATGTGTTATGTTTGTATCGAATTGTTTGTTGAGGTTATTTCTAGTTTCATTAATTGAAGTATTAAATTTGGAAACTATGATGCCTCAGACAAATTATTATTATAATATTTCATCTTGATTAATAATTGCTATATTTATCTGAAAATATGTCAAATAGGTTTTGATGCAAGAACATTTCTGAAGCTGCAAGCTTTTATATTACATGTTATGATATTATACCCGTTGATAGTGTATTGTTGCGAAATTTACTCAATGAAACATTTAAAAACTAACTTAAGGTGTAACAAGTTTATAGTAATATAGGGTAAGACAACATAATCAATAAAAATAAAATAAAATCTAAAATACATGCCGATGATGATAGCATTAACTCAATTTTCAGTCCGCTTATCAACGAATGAACCAATAGAATTTAGTTATGAGCCTACAAAGTTAAGCTTTCAAACGCAGCTGGATCACAGCTAGAAACAGCACGATGGAGTTATACGTAATTCGCTAACAATTCAAAAACTAGGAAGCAAGCGGCACGTGGGGAGGGTGGGGTTCGGGCGGTCCGTGTCATAATTCGTAACATGACAAATGTATCCCCTATAGATAATATTAATCTTGTTGTAACTACAGAGCGAGACTGCAGATTACTCGGGGGCTTAGGAGGACGTTGACAAACGACTGCTAAATAAATACATACCTGACCCGGGCCGCGGCTCGATTAATTTCCGCCGATGTTACGTTCCCACTTCTTGTTTATTTGCAATTAATACCGATACAGATTAGAGATTGCCTAGTTTTTGTGTCTGTGAAGAAATTGCCGAGAATATACATGTATTTACGTTTATAATTTTTATGATTGTACTACGTTGCTACTGATACCTATATATACCTACTCAATGATTGACACTAGATCCGACAATTTCTGACGATGCTTTGTAAGACGTTAGAGTAATAGTTGGTGATGGGTATGAGAACTGTGGCCGATTGTGAACGAACATTAAGTAGCTAGAAGGCAGGTGGTGTACGGTCCCAACTGTATCGTTTGTTTGTTTGTTTATCTTTTTGTGACTTTCATATTTGAAATAATAATAATAATAATAATCATTTATTCTCTCAACACAAAATTATGTACATACATGTGAGTCTTAAGATTCTTAAAAACATTTTGTATCTTAATTTTGTGAGAGACTGGAGCCCGAAATTGGTTTCAGTAGATTGCTATAGATGAAGAATTAAATGATATAGGGTGACTGACCCAAACGCTAGCACTACACCAAATAATCAGCACCCCAAAGAAATAGTAAAATTATAAGGTTTCCACTCAGTAATTTGTGTTACCAATTCAAAAAATACATAAAAAGATGTTTTTGATAGCCTACTTCTGGCAACACCATACTTTTCAACTTCAAAATGGCGAAAATATTGTGAACAAAAGTTTGTGTCCCGCAGTTCGTCCTGTTTTTGCTTGTTCCTTGTGATCGAAGGTAAGTGCATGTGTTTATATTTTATACTTTATTCGATCTTTTATATTTTTTATACTGAAACTTTTTATTTCCCTGATTCCTAAGATAGTTTACGACGATAATCTGAACAAAAGAATTTGAGGTTATGGTGATATATTGTTAAAAATGTGGTGCTGATATGTGGATCTAATATTTTGCGAATCCCAAATTATCAGCACTGGTGCTGATAAATGGGAAATACTACGTAAATACTTATTCGATATTTTTCATTGTAGACCGTGTTTATTATATGCATTAGAATGAGTTTTTTTTGGTAAAAATAGTTTACACTTTCAGAATCTAAATCTTAGCATGGTGCTGAAACAGCATTTGCCCTTTGTCAGCATAGTGCTGATGATTGGATCAAAAGTATGCTGATTATTTGGTTCGTCTAGCATTTTATCATCTTAATTTTTTTCAGATCCACCTACCTAAGATGAAACCAAAGGAAGTTAATAAAAGAAAAAAATATAAAAACGAAAATCTTCTAGAAGCTTTGGATGCGGTAAAAAAGGGTATGTCTAAAAAATTAGCTTCTAAAACTTATAATGTACCTAGAGGAACTATTCAGTCACGATTAAGAAAGCCGTGCAAGAATCTACCAGGCCCTGACCCAATATTGTCGAACGAAGAAGAAGGAGTTTTAGTACAGTGGGTTGTAGATTGCTGTCGGAAAGGATTCCCAAAAAGAAAGTCCGATTTACAATTGAGTGTAGCAAATTTCTTAAAGAAGACAGGAAGAGATAACCCCTTTAAAGATGACATCCCTGGAAAAAAATGGTATGACCTTTTTATGCGCCGTCATCCAGAACTCAGCGAACGAACTGCCGAAGCTGTAACATCAGCCAGTGCTAATGTTTCAGAAAAAGACATCAAAGGGTGGTTCCACAAAATTGAGCTTTATCTTAAGGAAAACAACAACTTTGATATCTTGCAGGACTCATCTCGTGTTTTTAATGGGGACGAATCCAACTTTCAATTATGTCCCAAAAGTGGCAAAGTTATTTCATTACGAGGAGAAAGAGATGTGTATGAAGTTGATCACACTGCAGCTAAAACAACCCTTACTGTACTATTTACGTTTTGTGCCAACGGAGATATAACACCTCCACTAGTTGTGTTTCCCAACAAGAGGCTTCCCAAAAATATAACATCAACGGTTCCAAATGAGTGGGGCATTGGTTTGAGCGATACTGGCTGGATGAAATCTGAACTATTCTATGATTATATCAAAAATGTATTTCAGCCATACCTAATCAAAAGAAAAGTAAAATTTCCCGTGATACTCTTTGTAGATGGGCACAAAACACATCTTAGTCTTGAAGTGAGTGAATTGTGCAGCAAGTTAGAGATCGTTTTAATTGCTCTATACCCCAACGCCACACGTATACTACAGCCAGCTGACGTGTCAGCCTTTAGACCTCTCAAAAATGCATGGAAGGAAAGTGTCCTGAAATGGAGGAGAGATCACCCTTTGGAGACTCTCACAAAGAACAATTTTGTACCTGTCCTTAAGGAGGCTTTAGAGGTCGGCGTTAAAGATACAACGGTAATAAATGGATTCAGAACTACTGGCTTATGTCCCTGGAACTCTGAAGCCATCAACTACAAAAAATGTCTGGGTAAAGGAAATAAACATAATGAAGAACCAAATGACGACAAATCAAAACAACTAGAAAATTTTAATAAAGATAGACTTATTATGACACATGAAACTTTAAAAAATATTGTAGGGCAAGAAAAAATTACATTTTTGCAAAGAACGCCACTTGAAAGTCTGACAGAAACAGAAAGGATTTTGAAGAAGATTTGTGGTTATTTTAAAGATCATCAAACTAATGCGTCCACATCCCAAGAAGCTGTTGTTGAGATTCAAAACTACAATGAGGTTGAATTTCTTAATGCATCCCAAGAACTTGTTGTTGAGATGCAAAATTACAATGAGGGTGAATTTCTTAATATTCAACTTCCACTTTTACTATCAGAAGATTTAGTTGATGAAATGCGACCTATGAACACTGCGATAATAAAAGAAACATCTGCTAAAAATACTGAAGATTGTCTTGGTAGTGCACAATTGGTATGTCTTGACAGTCAACAATATTTACTAACTCCAGTCAAATTACAGGACGTATTGGTTACGGAAAAAACGCCTGAACGAAAAGGTGTTAAAAATGTAGAAAGATCATCATTCGTTCTAACTTCAGCTGAATGGCAGAAGACTGAAAACGACAAATTAAAAGCTAAACAACTTAAAGAAGAACAACAGGAGACTCGTAAGAAGAACAGATTACTGAAACAAGTAGAAAAAAATAAAGTGAAAGTGAAAACCACCAAAAATAAGATAAATAAAACAGCGAAAGAGACAATAGCTACTAAAACACAAAAGATAACAGCTAATAAATTGGGAGAGATAAAAGAAAATAGACAACAAGTGACAAATGAAAACCAAATAAATGAAACAAAAGCTAGCAAAATACAAGAAACATTTATTAATCATCACCATACAATTATGAATCACCAAGTTATGATTCATGCTAACAATATGACATCCTCTCCTGAAAATGAACACCCGCCTAACATTAAGAAAACAAATGCTGAAGAGCAGCTTGTGTTTCCACCTAATAAAAAAATTAAAATTCTTTCCGACATTAAATTGAATTCACCGAACGTATTCAGATCTTCGCAAGTTGACCAAAGGGATGACAACCAAATTAGTGACCCAATAGACAAAATAATTAACAATAAAGGAAAGAAAAATTACACTTTACTAGAACTAGAGAAGATACTTTCTGAGGATTGGGATTGATTAAAAATGTAGACCAAAAATTGATATTTTTTATGTTCCTTAATGATTGTACCTATCTATGTGATACTTACCTATTGTAATATTATTAAGTACGTAAGACACTTTCTAGTGTGATTTAACTAAGTTTTAAGTAATAAATTATTTATATACCTACATAACTATAAAAATGTTAAACTTTGTCAAGTTTTTAAATACTATTAGACTATAAGTTAATTTATTTCTTTTTGTTTATGAAAAAGACCTACCTACCTAAAATTCAATAAAAGAGATTATTGGAAGTAAAACATTTTTTTTATTTCATATAATTTCAATGCCACTATCACAGTGCTGTTAATTGGCGCACTCTATGCTATTAATTGGTGGTGATGGTGCTAGTAAATGGTGAGATGGTCATTTTTTACTCTTGCCTATCTAAAAAATAATTGAATTAGGATAAACATTTCTTTTTTAAATATCATCCTATTGATTGAATATTGAAAGTAGAAAACTGGTCCTAACGGGTGAAAAAGTTTTTTCAATGTGATAAATGGGCTTAAGTTAAGACCAACTCTTAAAGTGCTGATAATTGGGTCCTTCACCCTAACTGATTATATCCGCGGTTGCATATAGTTTTTTTAATTTTAATCGGACTTCCGTAAAGTAATAAAAAAATATCAGAACTCAAAGAAAGGAGAAAAACAGAAACGCGTCGCGAATTCGATAATGTTTCTATTGGAAGAGCTAATACCATATTACAATATGCTTTGTTTAGTTAAAAAGAAAATTGGAGTTTTAAAAGAAAATAATGTAATAAAACTTCTAGATTCAACCACACTTTCACATTGCTCTGGTTACACGTCTTCACGCCACCGCGTCTCGAACAATAATGCCGTCTAAGACTAGCAACTACATTCAGCAAGACTCGATCAAACCTTATTTTTTATTAAGTCAACATTACACCCGTCTCCGGACAAATGACATTATTTTTTTTTGTTCTTAGTTCTGTTGTGTTAATAAATTAATTTGTTTAATAAAAAAAAAACATATTTTTAATTGCATTTTACAATATTACAAGTCTATTCTAATTATAAGTAGATCGACGGTTCAATAAAAGGGCAAGTACAATGTAACATCTCATATAAAATCCGTATTTAAAGATAATACATTCTAAGTTAAATATCAATTCTTAAAAATCCATTGTATCAAGTTAAGAAGATTGAAGATAGTGGTATTGATTTATTGTATTCACGTGACGATCCGTCGTTGTTGTTTTGTGTATCTGTTTTGAGTTTTCACAGATGGCTTATTTTTTATGAAAAACATATTGTTAGGGCCTCTCAAACTCTATTTACAGATATATTTCATCACAAACCTAAGAAAATCCTTTGAGATACCTAGTTCGTGATTGTTTGAAATTCTTGTGTCTACATTTATTTATTCGTGGCTCTTAGATAAATATGACTTCTATTCAACTGGAATAAATGTTGATTTCGTATTTTACACAAAGAAATATTACTTTTACAAATTATAAATGATAAAAGCTGCAATATTTAGCAGCAGTTTTATCGATGTTTATTTTCTAAATATGTTTCAGTGGTCGGTCATGATATATCGCGTGACGGTTATTGGGCACACAGATTACGTTTCAAGATGGCCGCCGTTTGCCGGCTGCAGCGCGCCCATCGACATCGGCTTTGAATGAGTTACGGCGTTGTTTAACTGCGTGTTTTACGTGATATTCTCGTGCTCTATGAGCGCACAGAAAATATATGGGAGACATTTTTTTACTTACCCGTGTTAGTACCATTTTAACCGTTTTAAGTTGTTGATTGGTCATTGCCCTTTCTGGTTCTAATAACATAATTTGTGAGTTACCCAGTGTAAAGCAGTTATACATATAAGTGATAGTAATTTATTTAGATAGTGAGTTGAGTCGTTTTTGCCATGCTGTAAACAAAACTGTACAATATTACTGTGAACGTGGTTTCGAATAATTTTATGCACACAATTTATAACACTGTGAATGACTATATATTATAATTCAAAGTAACGCCTTTTATAAGCTATCTAGACGGATACGTCTAGAAGTAATTTGGGGACAATCTGTTTTCAAGGACTAGCAGTAATCTGCCATCATGTGACGATCCCATCTACCCTGATACCTTTCTTCCATCAATCTTGGTGGAAGCGTTCTCTCTATTCTACACTGTAATCTCCCAGATTGTCGGGAAATCTATTCAGTGACTGTGGAGAAAATGTAGCTTTATGCTCATATTTGAGCCTAAATTCTTGAAGCTTTCCAACATCTGTTGCACAATTTCTAAATAATTTGGTGCTTTATAGTTACCTATAAAGTTTTTTACTACTTACACAAAATCTCTCCTTGCTTCAAGTTCAGCACCAGTCATAAAGTTTGTGATTTTTTTGTCTCTTATCGTTCGTATTTGAGGACCGTCGATATTCCAGCTTTAACTTTTAACAGGAAATGTTTTACATATATATTTAAAACCTTCTCTTTCCTTGTTTTTGACAACGCTTTGACAAACTGTCTCATCATATCTTATTTGATGTGTAGTGGCTGGAGTATGATTTTTCGCTACTCCATAGTGGCTCATTTATAAGATTGGATTACCAACAGTTAAGGATTCTCTCAAAGGCCAAACATTTTGTTCCCACTGAACTTGCTTTGCTCTGCTGACCCATAAACAAATAAAGCAAGGGTATTTGGTGTATCCACTTTGCTCACCAAGTAAAAAGTTCACTATCTTCAAATCTACACAAACCGGCCATTAATGGTCAGAGTAATTATTTTTTTGCGGAGCCAATTTTTAATTTGTGATAAACCAAATAAAAAAAAACTAGAACCTATGAAATATTTTTTATAAATATATTTGCAAACTGGATACTTAAAATATAAAAATCTGCAGAAATATCAAGGGTAACAAAAAAAAAAAAAGATTTTTTGTTGAGCTGTGTTATCATTGTAGTTTCGATGAAATGTTTCTTTGAATTTTTAAGTTAAATTTATATGAAACATAGAAAAACGATTTTAATCAAATAGCCGGGGTTTTATCGAACAATATTCATGAAATTGTTTTGTTTGCACAAATATTTCTCCAACGAAATTTACAACAGTTGGTTTTCGTTTCAATTCGACAAATTCTCGCTACCAACTCGTTCCATCGACCGCAGTATAAGTTAACAAAGGCAAAGTTTGGACAAGAAGTATACGGTGCATTGTGCAACTTGTTTCATTATTTTATTTGTGTATACTTATGTGTCGAATTCAGTATCCGGATAAGAAATTAGTAGACTGCCATTCAATACATGGAGAAGACTTTTGAAGAATATTTTTTTTATTTTTGATGACTACATATTGCTTACTCATTTGAGTTCTCAGTCAGATGATTACAATCATCGATAGTTGGCGGACGGTCCGCTATTTAATATTTTACTATTCATCATTTCCAATATGTGTGATTAACTTATAATAAATCAGTTAAATACTTTAAATTATGTATACTTTTTGTCAGTGTAAACATTTATTCAGTTATTAGTGTTCATTATAGAAGGGCCAATAGGACATCTCACATAAAACTAAAAGCAGCAGCGCTCAAAACAAGCGGCCATTTGCGCTCTGCGTAGAGTCTGCAAATGTTATCCTGAGTGACGCGACGGCTGCCGCAAACCAACTACAACCTACACAGGAGCCAACTAAATCCTATTAAGGTATAGCTTAATGCTTAGAAAGATCATTTAATCATCGTGGAAATCGATGGAGGAATGTGAAAGGCTAACATATAGCTAACAATACAAAGAGGTTAAATAAAATTAAATAGGAACCTTACCTATGATATACGTAAGAACACTTGTCCTTCGAGGATCAGTCTGCGTCACTTATGTTTATGTGAGTATTTATTAACTAAGCGATACTATTAAAACCGCCGACTCCTTTATCTCAGACACTCCCTCAACATCGTTACTGTCGCAGAGACCTCGTGACGGAAGCGGCCCTCTCCACGATATTTATTTTGAGCTTTGTGCTTGCTCTAACGTTTACGTGGCCGTGTTTATAAACATATTTGAATTTTTGTGAATTGTAGGAAAATCTGTGCACGTTAACCATATAAAGAGTTTATATTTTGAAAGGATCGTATTCAAATGAACATATTACTTTATTGTGAATATACTAAATAATGATATTCACTAACCTCATCAAAAACATTGGTAATATTGTGCGGCAACCAACCGGTACCGTATATTAGATTAGAGGAGTACAATGATCATTTGTTTCTTCTCAAATCTCTATACATTTCGAAAAAGCAGAAGGGTTTGACTTACTTAACAAGGCCGAATTTGCACATTTATACTTTTAAAACGCCAAAGTAAATATTCTAAAAAAGATTTTAATAAACTCTCATTTTCCTATAATATTAGAATACGTGGTATGTTAATAATACGAGTCCATATTTTGTGTTTGTGACGTGAAACAGCATTTTACAACGGCGACTAAAAGTTTTCTCATCCAGCAGGTGGGTGCCTTAACTACAAGACCAGTTAACGATGTTTGTTTTGGGGTCCTATAGTGAATAGAGGCTGTGTAACGAGCTAAAGTAACGAGAGTACATTCGGAGTTCCAATGTCTTCATCAAGTTGTTGTAAAACAACTAAGTAGGATATATTAAAATGAGGTTAATGATTCTTTCATATAGTTAATAAATTTAGGCATGCTTTATTGCTACAGATTTTGAAAAGGAAGGTAATTAAAGAAAAAGCAACTTGAGAAACGATTTATTTGTACATCGCTGTAGTAGTAGGTTAAGTGTGCGCAGCGAGCTAGCTATCCACGGTAGCTTAAAATATCTGATTTGTATAAAAAATGTGAGGGCACCAACTTCACCTCTCAGCACTAATTGAAACACAGGAGGAGACACCCGAGAGTCCTAAATAATTTATTAACCCGATTCACATTTCTTACTTCACTTTTGTTATCTCTATATTCTATTTTTCAAGAGTTTAAG